ATCTATCTATCTATCTATCTATCTATCTATCTATCTATCTATCTATCATATATAATTTACAGGTGGTGTTGACTTATGATCACAATTGAGCCCAAAATTTCTGTTGCTAAGTGAGACATTTGTTAAGGGAGTTTTGCCCCATTTATGACCTTTCTTGCCACAATTGTTAAGTGAATCACTGCAGTTGTTAAGTTAGTAGCACAGTTAGTAAATGAATCCGGCTTCCCCATTGACTATGCTTGTCAGAAGGTTGTAAAAGGGGATCACATGATTCCATGACACTGCAACCGTCACAAGTATGAGCCAGGTGCCAAGTTGAATCTTCACCATGGGAATGAGGCAATGGTCATAAGTGTGAAAAACAGTTCACAAGTCACTTTTTTCAGAGCCGTTGTAACTCTGAACGGTCACTAAATGATTTGTTGTAAGTCAAGGATTATCTATCTCTCTCTATATATATACCACCCACCCCACTATCCAAAGAGACTTTGGGCAGCTTACAATGCAATAAAAATATAAGGCGAGAATTTTATTTGCACAACAATGGAACAGTGAAGAGATCCCAGCAGGTGAAGCTGTGATTAGAAAATATTAGAATATGTAGAAATGGATAAGCTAACACAATTAAGGAAAAGGAAGAAACTGAATATTTTTTGACTTGGGACTTATTTTATCAATAGTTAGCTCACAAAAACAGGACCCAGAAACAGGGAAATATACGAAAGGATTTGTGATATAAGGAAGATATGTTAACTTGGTTAAACAAATAGCATGATTATTATGAACATTAATATAATTGATATTAAGGCAATGAATATTGTTGTAAATACTGTAATTATTATTTTCTAAAATGATTTGTGCCCAGACAACACACTGTTCAATTGAAATTGGAACTTTCGTATGTTATAAAATAAAATAAAAACATTACAAAGACAATAAAAATATAAGAACAATTCTACCTTAAATAGTAAAACAATTTTAAAATTACAAACATTGAAGCATTCTTTTTTTTTTTGTAAATTTTATTTGAGATTTCACAAAGAGAAAAAAAATTACAAATAAAACATCTTTTTTGAAAGCAGCATAATCCCGGGTTACATTTCTTCGTACAGACA